CATCTGGTTTAACTGATGCCTCTTTAGGGGCAAGAGAAAAGGACATAAGGCAACAGTGAGCAACAGTCTCATGTCCCATACAAAGCATCTGGAGAAGATGAGTTGTTGAATAGATTTGGAGAACCCCTATGGGAAGAAAAGTAATATCGCCAGAAACAGATTACAACACTCAGCTGACAGATTGGTTTGGTGGATATTCGAAAGGACTTCAAATAAAAGATCCTTGTCCAAAAGCTCTTAAGTAATATAAGCTACCACAGGATCAGAGGACAGTATCCTCACAGGGACAGAGAGCTGATTAAAAGACAGAAATCACAGGGTATGGAATAAAAGATGTTTTCACACTAGTGGGAGGTCAACAGTGGAGTCAAAGAAGATTTGTGCTGGGGTCTATACTCCTCAACAGTATTTTAAAAAAAGAAATAGAGGGAGGTGAGAATTTGCTGGAGGTTAGTCAAGGTTGTAAGAAAGAGGAATGACAGGTGAACTTCTAATGTTGAGTGACTGGGCAGTGTAATAGCAAATTATATCCAGCACAGGTAAATAGGGTAATGTACACACTGGGGAAGAAACAACAATCCCGGTTTTTCATGTGAAGTGAATGACTTAACTTACCACTCACTTATTAGATCCTGGCATTGTAATTGTTCTTTATATAATCATCTCAGTAACAAAAAAGGCAAACTGTTCCAACTAAAAGATAATAGCACACCATAAGTTATTACAAGGACCCTGTAAATACCCAAGTTTTGAATACAGTGCGTGGAATGGAACTACCTGTAGATCCAGCAAAGCTTTGGGAAAGGACAATACAAACAATCAGGGGTATCTGCTAGTTGCCCTCTAAAGGAGTAACTGAATTGTTTAAAACTGAACAAGCTGTTCGAGAGGTGACTGGGATGAAGGTGGAGAAGGGAAGAGACATGACAGACATCAGTAAAAGCTGAGTGGCTTGGAGAACAGCTGCAGCAAAAGTTTTCCAGCTTCTGCAGCTGCTGGTGAGGCCAGAGTGATGAAGGCTGCATTCCTGACAGCGTTCATCTCCAGCTGTGCCTTCCAGGCCCTCCAGCAGAGGTCAGGGAAGGCAGCTGGTAGCAGCAGCTCAAGACCACAGTCAAGTTTCATGCCATCCTAATGAATGCAGTGACTCCATCTACTGATAAAGCAGTTTCCAGAGGAACTTAAATAAGCAGATAGAATCTTTGTATGAACAGAATATAGAATATGCTATAGAATATTTAGGGTAACATTTCTTTTTCCCCAGAAACTGTACCACAGTGCAACTTTGTCACTTTATAAATGGCACTTCAAAGCACGGGAGGAGCACAAAAACTACAGACAAAAAATAGCTTTAACAGAAGGGACTGGAATAGTTAAGAGGAGAGATGGGTTTTACTTAAATACCTTTCTGAGAAAAGTTAGTATGGAAGAGTACTCGCTGCATCTTAAGACCGGTTACTTTTACAGGTAAAGAGCATAGTTTTTTGAAAGATTGTTGTCAAGATTTGCAATAGCTAGCAATTAATTTGAATACTTCAAAATATTTTAAAGCTATAAAGCCCATAACACAGAGTTCTTGATGCCTGGTCTGTTTGTTTCAAGACTGCTCACTAGTCGGTACAAAAATATTCCAGGACAGTTCCTCTTCCTCTCCTCCCCACCACCCAACAAAACGGAGGATTTCTGAGAAAAGGCTTGTAACTTCAAGGAAAACAAACAAACAGACCTCACTCTCCTCAGTTGTCAGACACCCATGGCATTTATGACAGCAGCCCAACTCACAATTTATATTAGAAATCTTCTGAGTTACACAGTTTATGAAGCATCTGAGGAATATTCTGTATCTGATTTCAGAAGGAAACAGCTGGACTGCAAAAAAATGCACATGACAAGTCGTAAATGACATAACTCAAATAGTGCACGTTTATTCTGAACAGTATTTCTAAAGAGTTTGAGAAAAACAAAAACATGCTCCTGATGTACAAGGGCAATGATATAGATTAAAAATGGACCATCTTATTGTAAAGAATTTGCTCCCCCTGCAACTTAACTTGTAACATGGAGAATGCATCTGTAAACTGCATACAGCATACCTCTGACTAAATCTTAACTCAAGAGACCAGGGGTGGTCTTAGCCAAATTAATCAGGAAGCAGTTGCAGATTCAAAAGAAACATCCAAGTCAGCAAACACTTTACAAAACACAGACTTTGTGCATAGCAGCTGACCCTGGATTACAACATGGGGGAGAATAAAACAATTTGGGGGATCAAATTTTTACTAGACGCAGGGCACCATCAAGAATTAACAAAATATCACATAAGTTTGTTTCAATTGTAACAGTATGTCATATTTAGTTGGCAGGTTTAACCATTAGCTGCATCATGTAAACTCAGCCAGTTTCTGTATACACAAAATAAAATCTCTCCCTTCCCCCTCCCAAAAATGAGGAATACCTCTCCTGGATGATTCTTCTTCCCCTGTACCATGGTTTCCTCTAGTAGGAGTCTTTTTGTAGGTAGTATCTTCATACTTCAACCGATGTGTGACAAAACCAGTTGCAGAGATTCATGAATAACTCATATATACACAATTTACACTCTAAAGCTGTTAGTCTTGCTAGATCTTCATCCAGAACAGGAAGTGCTGGTGGGTTTTTTCCTCCACTGAAACTCCGAACTTTGAAAAAATTTAGTTGTTCATAAGCTGCTATTTTCAAGCTAAAAGGAGGTCCTGCTGCAGCAACAAACAAAATAACTGAAGTTCTCTGCAGTAAGCCCATACTTCACACAGTTTCAGTGTCTCTGGGTAACAGCACTAAGGTACAGCATTCTCCTGCCACACTCAACACGGCTGATATACTAATAAAATACAACTGTTTGTCATTCAGAACTACTGACCTTCACTCGCCCTTATCCATGTACAGGGAACACAGCTTTCTATGAGATTTAGATTAAACCTTGTGTTCAAGATTCAACAACCGTTTTCCAGGATTAACCTGGGAAAAGGAGTCTTATATTTGTGGTTACTCTCTCTTCCACCTCCTACAAGACATTTTATCAGAAGTTACAATGAGGCAGGTTTGCTGTGGAATAGGAGCTTTAAGAATTGTTTTCAGGGATACATTCATAGAATGATGGCAGCCCAAAGCAAAAAGAGACAGAAACAAAGGTTAATCCAAGTAAGTTCAGACATCAGACTCGTACTTTTAAACCTGAAGGAAAACTGTCTGTGAAACACACCGATTTGTGGAAGCCTACGACAACAGCAAATCCTAAGAGTTCATATCCCCACACCCATCTACCCAACCCAAACACTTACCATTTAATTCTAGAAGAATGAAGAGCACTTTGCTTGGCACCAGAGGCAGCTATGGTCTGAGTTACAGCTGTGCTGCACAAACATCCTCAAATACAATACTATCTCTCTCCTCCACATACTTCGCTTGGTTTGGTCTACAGATGGCCGGGGAAACTATGTTGGCATATGACAAGCTAATTGTGCTTCAATACATCCCCTTCTAGAAAGATGCCAGAACTGCCAACGTAACCAGTGCGAGCAGGTCCTAGCAGTACTAAAAATAAGCTTTTGTCAAAACTAGGCTGCCTCTGGCCAAGGAAACCATTTGCATCTTTCTAGCCAGAGTCTGCCACCAAGTGTTGCAAACACAGGTGCTCAGGCCATGCAGAAGGGCTTTTGTTGTTAGCGATCTGCCCATCCCCAAGACTCAATTAGTGCAAACCCAGCAAATAGAATAGCCGTTTTCCAGCATAGGTCTCTCAAGATGCACTCCAACAAACACTACACACCTCTGGGAAAGAAGGAGTAATTCTGGAGCAGCTCGTATAGTCACCCCTCGAGTATCAAAGACCACATAATGTGCAATGAGGGGTGCTGTCCCTTGCCTCACCACAACTCCCATCTTGAAATCCTTGGTTCCCAAGTCACCCTCGAATGACTGGACAGCACCTATTAACCAGATGTATGCTGCAACACGCACTATAGGTTGGAGGATTTCAAAGCAGATGAATTCAAGATGCAGATTTAAACTTTAAAAAACAAACAGGAAAGGAATGCAGTTCAATATCTACTTGGAGAACGGGGCAGGTTGGTGTTGTCTTAGCTCAGTGCACTTTCCCAGGTGCTTGGAGAAGAGTCCAAGCTCAAGTTGGTGTTTGTATTGGCATACATAAAATCGCTGGCAACAGTGCATAGAAAGGAGCACTGATATTCACGCAAACAAAGCATGAAAGGATGCAAAGCAGAGCTTAGTAGAGTTTACTGTAGCTTTGAGATTACAGTACTAGGAAGAAGCCAGCCAGCCTATTTTCCAAACCCATAAAATGCTCTAATACATGCCGCTTTCTCTGGTGCTCCATGAACACCCTCTCACGAGAGGAGAACTGCATTATTACCACTGAACGGGAAAAGGGGAAAAGAATCTTCAAAGGAGCAAACTGTGCAGTTCTTAACCACCTCCTCCCGAAGGAGCACATAAACACAGCAAGCCAAGCCAATCCCAAGCAAATCCAGGAGACCCCTGCGAAGCTATGTGATTAGGGTCAGATTTGTGTTTGCCTTCTCAGCCTTACTGCCTGGTCTCCTCACCCCTTGCCTCATCTCAGATTTGTCACCACAGATTTAGTAGCTGTAGCAAATTTATCTGGAGACAGGTGCTTGTCTTATGTGATCAAAGCTGGTAAGGTGGTCACCGTCACTTTTCCCATCCCAACAACACAGATAAAACTAACTCTCAATGAGCCCTACAGCATTTCACCCATTTTTAAAGCAAGGGTCTTGCCTCAGGATTCATATTTTTACAAGGTCACTCTTGCCAACACCAGATCTAGCTCTTACTCTGGCAGAATTCTGCTGGGAGTTGGGTAAATGAAAAAAAGAAAAAACAAAGACCACTCTAAACCCTCCTCTCAGTCAGTTAAGAAGTGTAGCACCAGCTTGGGTGAGAAGTATTTAAAAAAAGCATTCAAAAAGATCAGCCCAGGCAGAGTGAAAAGGTATGGTAAAGTAGCCCGCCCTTCTCAGCAAAAGGTGGAGGAAAAAGCCATACTCAAAAATATTGGGAAGAACTAAACATACTTTTTTGAGGTGGGGGAATTAAAAGGAAAAGTGGGAAGTACTGAAGTAACATTCAAAGGTTGGGGGGGAGTTAAGTACCCTGTAGGTTATAAAAAACACAATAATGTAGGAGTCAAAGGACAAGATACTGCTTTTCCTTTTTTCCCCCCATTGGATTTACATTCTGCTTACTGAAAGAGATAATTCTGAAGGAAACTTGTCATCAGGATAACCTGCTCAAGCCCTCCACACCTCAAACTTAAGAGCTCTGCACACCTTTTCCCACCCCAAAAAAACCCCCAAAACCCCAAACAAACAAAAAAAAAAACCACAACACAGAAAGAAGAGCTCAAAAAAAAAAAAAAAACAAACAACCAAACCCAAACATGATTGGACAATCCTTGGAAGAAGCATTACATTTTGTTGGAGAGAGGTCAAGGAAAAAAAATTAAGAGGATGAAGGGGTGGAGTTAAAAAAAAAAAAATCAAGAGGCCTCTCTTTCCTTATTTGGCGACAAGCAAGTGCAAGAAAGTGTTCGTTGGGGTTTTGTTCAGTTGTCGGTCTTTTGCACATCTGCGTTCTGGCCAAGACAAGGGGCTTTAAGGTTTTTCTGCAGCACATGAGCATCTGCGGGCTCTATCCTCTTGTAGTAGTTTTTCTTCGTCTCAATGATCTCAAAGCCAAACTTTCTGTAGAAGTCAATTGCGGACTCATTGCTGATCTGGACATGCCTGGGACAGAAAGGAGAATAGAGACACAGGTATCAGAACCTTCTGTGGTACAGTATTCTGCCTCCACACTCAGAACGGTCAAAGACAAGATAAGAAAAGGAGCTATCTAGGTAGAGACAGGAACGATGGTGTAAGTTCAGGACTGGAAATTTTGGTCTTCCAAATCAGTCCTGAGCTAACACAGCTCCTGGATGGACTGTGGCTATCATTCTGAGAAGTGGCAAATGTTTCCCCTCAGTAAAGCTCTTTTAAGGAACACAAATAGCAGAGAGACTCTGAAGCATTACTAGCTCAGTAATTTCAATTTTTCTTAATCTGGAAGTGACAGATATTTTGTGGAAATATATAACAAAGTTTCACTGTAGAGCCAATTTTAACTTCCTGTAGTGACGCTTTTTAGATGACCAAAACATTGTCTGAGTGATGTTCCCTACATGCTGCAACACAAAACTGGCAATGGTGTTTGATACGATTTTAACTCCTTGCTCACTTCTAACTACCCCTCTCTCCTCACGAAAAGCTGTAACAGCACAAAGAAGCCCTATGGGCTTACAAAGTCCTTTTCCCTTGTATCTATCTCCCCCAGAGTTTTACAGATCTTGCTAGCATATTTCAAGAATTTCAAGGCCTCCAAAACAAACAGCCATCAGTTCTTCATTCTAAGCAACTAGGACATTTATTTGCACAAATTTTATCCAAAAAAAAAAAGTTTGGCTCAGCAAAAGGCATTCATTAAACACTCCCAAGATTCAGTGGACACTGCACAAGCTCATGAATCACTTTGTCATGACAACTTGCTGCATAACCATAGAACCAAAGCAACTCTGAAAGCAACAGCAGAACAAACCAAAAGATCTTAGTGTTAAGCCCAATAAACACCAAATAGCTAAAAGGAAACTTCATAATAATGAAAGATTTAGCCACTGATATCAAATTGGGTGCTAAGCTGCATAATATGTTCAGATAGAAGATGCACAAGCAACAGACATAGTAATAAAATCAATGGGCCACTGAAAGAACTTTGTTATGCCAACTTCGGGGGCTATTTATTGTCATCCCAGAAACCTACTCTGAGAAGTGGAAAGACGGACTATGAAGGATTTGTTTTTTGCATTAAAAACAGCACGCAGGTCCTTCACTGTGCACACAGTGCAAAAGCAAAAAGGAAAGCCTGTGCCAACTAGCAGGCATTTGAGAGAGACTTCATTACCAGTTCTTCTGAGGCAGCAGAGCAGGAATACAAGCCAAAAGCAGCTTTACTCAAACTCCTCTTTAAAACACCTGTTCCTCTTACAGAGATGGCACAAAGCTACAACAGTAGAGGTCTTGGAAGACTTTGCATCTCCTTGGCAGGGGTGGACTAAACTTGAGGAGAAAGTCACTCCATTTATAGTGATACCTGTGTACAAAACACTCCTCACTAAGCATCTTCAACAGTCCTGGCAAGAGTTCAGGGTGCAGTTCTGTGGCAGCGTAAGTCAGTCCAAGCCGTACCTGCTATGGGACTCTCCCTACCAGTGCACTCTGCTTGTGCTGGTATAAGCAAGCAGTGATGGACAAGGAAGAAGCTGGCTCAGAGAAGTGATCTGGCCAAAAACTGCATCAGCTCACTTGGTACTCACACAGACACCAATGCACAGGAAGAAGCAGAAGTGTGCAGCCAGCAGCGAAGGGGAAGCAAAGCTTTGGCACCTATGGATTTCAGGCTCTATTTCCATGGGGATCTATTAGGATGGTGGTGCTCTTTTAAGCAGCCCTGTCCTCTACCCCAGTGCTTGTTCTCATGTCTGCATCATGCCAAGTGCTTATGTAGACGTGCAGTTGATGAAAAAAAAAAAACACCTCAAACCCCCCAAAACCACACTAAAACCAAAAACAACACCCAGAAACAAAACCAAAAACAGTTTCCCCAGCTGAGTCAGGTCATTGATCTAGTTTACTGTGTTGTTGCACAAACAGCTGACCTGGCACAGTGCAAGAATGGAAATAAGCAGTTGGGCCTTGCTACTGAATGAGAACCTAGAGTGCTTGCAAGCACTTCTGATCTGATGTTCTAACCTACACAGTACCGTCATAAAAGACAGACAGCAAATGTATCAAAACTGCATGCAAGACTTGCAGTATTTTCCATTCTGAGGACGACACTGTATGATAAAAAAATTCTTTTACGAGAATTTTTTTAGTCATACAGCGTAATTCTGCTATAGAACATCATTTTGTAACTAAACTACTTTCAAATTCCACAAATTTGCAGAAGCCCTTCTAAAGCAAGCACACAAGCTTTTGGTTTTCTCAGCATCACACAGCAAGCCCAGAATATAACCCCTAGCTTTCTTGCTATCTCTTACAAGATGTCCCATGACCCCACTGAAATACATACTAAAATGCTCTTGAATGTCCCTCCCTTTGCTCCCATACATGCCTCTATCATCTCTCAAAAAATGCATGAGTAACTCATTTACTTACAGATAGATGTTGTCAAAAGTGCCATCTTTTTCACAGATGTTTAAGACATGATTCAACATTTTAGTTCCTGCCGAAAGGTAAAGAGATACTTAAGAAAAACCAGAAGTGCATGATCAAGTCTGTACTTAGCTAAGGGCTTTCTTGAGGAGAGGCAGGTTAACTATAGGTAGGCTAAAATGACAGAGGTTGTGAAAACTAGAAAAGGCAAATGAAACATGGTGTGTAAGAATTTCACTATCTTTCTGACTGCCTACAAAATTTAATTCATTGTTTCTTTGGAGAAAAAAAACCCCAACGGCCTAGAAGCATAAGTATAAAGCAGCTTATTTAAATACCAGCTTCAATCTTTCAAACTCACCTCAAAATATGGTCAAAATGTATAAAGCAGTGAGAGCATTGGTTAAGTTTTTCTAATAAAGGCCTAGTACAGTAATTTAAAATAGTTATCTTTTCATTCCAGTTTGTCAGAGCAAATAGGTTACCGTAAGGTCTTGATTAATCTGGCCTATGGATTTGCAACATGGAGAAAAGAACTAACTGCAGTACAGACAGAAAGCAGGTACTACCCCTGAGCAGCAATAATCAGTAGTGATAAAGACAAAATAAATAGAAAAAACCTTCATTTGGAAGAGTGAAGAGAGAAACCTATGAAGGAATGTTGTGTTCTACTTGCATACTGGCTGCATACCTCTGACAAATTATTTCATATCTCTGTGCATTAATTTTCACATTTGTAGAATCAGAGTATTTACATCACAGTATGATAACGTGATTAAGATTAAAATAATCTGAAATCCTGAATTAGAAAGTTCTACAAAAAGTCCATTTCTGA